AAACATCTTTTTTTTTTAAATAAAAAAAAAAAAGAATAAAGGGCAAAATAGTCTTTTGGGGGGCGGTAAGTAGTATAAGGGGCGGTATTTAGTGATTCAGTATATCAAATCATGAAGGACCAATCAAATTTATGTCTTCTTCTCCAAGACTCTCTCTCCTACACCTATAAATAGGGCTCTTCTCAATGCCACAAATCACACCTCAAAAAATCCAACACCTCATATATCAAAGTCTCAATTCAAAGAGCTCTCAATAATTCTCTTGAAGATCCAAAGGTGTTCTTGAAGATCCACGATATTCAAGTTAAAGATCCAAGAAGAGAAGAATCAAACGGTTACATATAGAGATTGTACCCGCATATCGTTTGATCAATATATATTCTTTTTTGTTTTTTTTCCCCAAAACGATAGATAATATTATAATTCACAATGCACAAAGGTGCGAATACACAGCAACCAACGGCTGAATACACAGCAGCCAACAGCTGAAAAAAGTGGGAGGACAGGTCAGAAGACCGCCTAGAATCCCGGCTAGCAACGCTATAATAAAAAACACTCGCAACTAAACTAAACAACAACACAAACAACTAACACAACTACAAGGAACCCAACAGGGTAATACCCGAGTGTCTGATCCCAACAGGATAATAAGTTTGACACTCGGGCTCACAGGGACCAACGGCCTAAACCAAAAACACAAGACACGCATAACACAACTACAAAAACAAAAACTCGAATACACATAATCTAAATAAATATAAACAGCCCTTCCCCAACGAAATGAGCAAGCCCGAACCAGCAGAGAACGATCGACACAAGACAAATCCAAGACAAGAACCTGCTACCGAAACTGCAATCAAGCCTATACTGTCACACCCCGCGTTACTTAGCTTTTGAAAAATCAGACTTTTATTTTCGAAAGGTCGTGCGACAGGCGCTGCTGGGGTTGGACAGGTGTGGCTAGGCGCTGCTAGCATGGCCCTGGCACGGTTGGTGCCTCTCAGGTGCTGCTGGGCACAGCCGAGACTCGTTGGGCGCGTTGGCGTGCAGCTGATCGGCACAGGCGCGACTAGACACGGGGCGGACGTGGACTGAGGCTATGTGGGAGCTGTGGGGCGTCCCTGAGGGTGCTGGGCACCTAGGCATGCTGCTGGGCACGTCCCAAGGCTGACTGGGCTCAACAGACCCGACACAGGTCTGCACGAGGCTCTGGCGCGAGACCTCGTGCGTTGGGACTGACACGGCGCTGCCGGGGGTTGTGCATGCAGTTTGGGCGCGACTTGCGCCGATGCTGGGCACGCACTGAGAGCTGCGGGCTCTGTTGCATGCACGCGGGCTATGCCTCGCGCCTATCGGGCACGGGCACTGGCTAGGGCTAGCCTCTGTAGGCACGGGGCAATGCACTGCACGTGCGGTATGCGCGCCAGTGACCATGGTCGGCGCTTGCTGGCCATCCAGAGACTTTTTCCGGGGACATGAAACACATATCACTTCAACATGATACAATAGGCATAAAAATGCAAGAAAATTCCATGAGACCTCGGGTCGAAATGCATGTTGTTCGGTAGGGCCTAAATAGCACGTACGAACACTTAATCACCGAACCAACTGTTAAATCTTAAACATATGATCATGTCCGAGTGTTTGGCATCACAAATAATGGCTAATGAGGCTGAGATGGTAGCAAGAACACACATGCATAAGGATAAGGCTCGAGGGTCCAAAATAACATAAATTCATGAACAAGTTGACTGAACAAACGAACTCCAAACATTCTCAAACTTATACACCATCATAAACATAATATATGAGGAGGATTGGGCTATCAATTTCGGTCTAAGCATGCATGCTACTCAAATTTCGAAATTAAGGCCATCAATTCTTAAAATTCAAAACTCATGGATTTTCACGGGCATGGCTTGATATTACTACATGAAAAAACCTAAAATATCATAAATAGGCTGAGTGAAAAAGATAGCTCGAGCTAACCTTCACCGAAAATGGAAAAATGGTTGCAAGGGCTTGCTCGGGCTTTGCTCACGACTTAGGGACTATGGCATGGTTCGGGACGGTTTGGATGAGCTTTGATGGACTCAAAAGACTTAGAAAAGTCTAAGAAATACTTAGAAGTTGCTAAGCCTCGTGAGAATATGGCTGGAAGTGGCTAGACCTCGTGAACTCCTCCACCCGGCTCGAGCGCGCGCAGTATATGACTAAGGTAAGTAGAGCTCGACTTTTCTCTCAAATACCCACTAAGTGCTCGAGTAACCATGAGTCTAAGAGCTGTAAAATGACTGAGGAATGATCCTTTTAAAGGGTTAGGGGCGAAGGTAACAATGTATGAAGGTGGGAGACCAAAATGAGGGACATAAGTGCCATACCTCTTCTCAATGCTTATGGGACTTTGGGGAAGCACATTGCACGGTTTTTTATGAGACTTTGAGTGGAAAGTCAGAGCATTATGAACATGGGACGTGGTCTGGTCAGGTGGTGGGAGACAAGGGAACAAAGACTAGCATTTTGAATAAAATATTACATTACCCATCACTCCACTTTGCATGCTAATTGAGTTGACTCTTAATCTTTGTTAAGGTCATATTAGCTCTAAGTAATCCCCATTAAGTCCTGAATAAACGC